TGTGTTATGAGTGATAAAATCCTTTTTCTCTGAACAGAGCCTCATGTATTCTGCCAGCATCCACAAAAGTGTGGCAAGCTGGCTTTCTAATAGAGTGAAATCTTGGGCTCTTCAGAACTCTTGACAAATGTGATCTCCTTCTTCTAGAAGGGAAATTGAGCCTCAGAGAAATTAAGTGCCTTACCCAAGGCCCTAGAAAAGGAGCTATAATATGGACCCATGTGGATAAACTCCAGAGCCTATAATCTTAACCACAAGGATGAAGCTGAAGAAGCAAGAAGGAGTTAAATCACACAAGACCTTGTAAGCCACGTTATAGAGTTTAAATTTTATCATATGACTAATAAGTGGTCTATTCATTTGGGTAGGTTAGCTACTGTACCAGTTAGACTTCAATATATATATTTGCTTACACCTAACAGAAAATTATTCCTTGCTCATATAATGATTTGAAGCAGAAGATTCTGGTCAGTGGGCAGCTCTCTTGTACATGGTGATTCAGGAACTCAGGCTCCTTCTGTCTTGTGGTTCCATCAACCCTAGGGTCTTCCTTGCTTCCAGCCAAAAGGGATGAGAAGAGAGCATGACAACCCACATTTGCTTCTTAAAACCCATTGTCTGGGGCACCTGGGTGGCTCAGATGGTTAAGGGTCTGCCTTCAGCTCAGGTCATGATCCCAGGGTCCTGGAATTGAGTCCCGCATCAGGCTCTCTGCTCCTTGGGAGCCTGCTTCTCCCTCTGCCTCTCTCTCTCTGTCTCTCATGAATAAATAAATAAAATCTTAAAAAAAAATAAAACCCATGGTCTGGAGAATGACCTACACCATTTTTGCTAACATTCCATTGACAAGAGCTAACTGCATGGTCACACCTAGAAACAAGAGAGCCTATCAAACATAGCCCCTGTTTCCTAATGATAAACTCCATCCTATGGAGGAAAGCATGAACTTTGGAGCAGAGGTAGCCACTCAGAGATTTAAACAAGTGGCCTAATAGGTAAGATTTACACTGCAGATCCCCGGCTGCAATACGGACATGTGTTTGGCAGGGATAAGACAGGAGACAGGAAATAAGCCGGAGATCCGCTGTAGTAATATAGAAGAGGCTGGTGGACTACAACAGGCAAGAGAAAATGACAAGGAAGGAGAGGGGTAGGTGGAACCAGGAACCATTCAGAAGATGAAATCTATGGGACACTCTCTCTGCTAAAGTACAGCCCTCCTCCAACCATGTATTTGCTGGCCTGTTTCCACTCCGTCCCTGACTCTAGGTCTATGTCTACATTCACCGCATAATAATAAATGTTAAAGGAAGCAGGAGGGAAGAGATAGAACTGATATTTAAAAAGAGAGAGAGAGAAAATTCAAACTGAACACTTTTATGCAGATTCACACCTTCACTCTCAGAGAGACACACGCCAGGCCCCAGATTCTCCTCTCTCCGGGGGCCCCATGCAGATGGAACAGCAGGGCAGCATGCAGCAAATAATGCGTGTGTGAATAATCTATGCTTCCGTAAGGAATACGTTGTATGGGTGGCTCTGGGAAAGGTTCTGTGTGCTAGTCTTTGTCATAAAGACTGCTAAGACTACAAAGGCTGCACATGGGTTTCCCAGGAAGCTAACTCTGAGATGGAGCTCCGTGCACAGAAAAGTTCATTTGGAGAGATTTCCCTAAGGGGCAAAATTAACTATCACAGAATTGTCTTAAGTTGGGACAAGGAGACAGGGCTTGGGTGCTCTTGTACAAAGGTAGTCATATTGGGCATGGGGTATCCTCAGGGAGGGGGTTAAGACGTTGGGCAAGGAATCTCTTGTTAGCCGAGGGAAGTCCCAGAGAAAAACTGAGTAAAGAGCTGTCAGCTGCCAACATTCCTAGAAGCCGGGGGATGAATATCTGAGTTCTGGAAAGCGGGGATCAGGACATCATACCTCAGTGCCTATATACACAAATGTATGCTTGAGTGCCTAATAAATCGTTAATGACTGATTCTGGCCTTGACAACCAACCCCCCTCCCCCACATTTTGATAATAGGAGTGCATTCCTAGAAATAAGACAATTTGTTATAACATAGAACTTATATAACTCACATATTATTGGACTAATACATTTCTTTTCTTTTTTTTCTTTTTAGGGAGAGAGATAGAGCACAGTTGGGGGGCAGGGGGAGAAGCAGAGGCAGAGAGAGAATCTTAAGCAGGCTCCATGCCCAGCACAGAGCCCGATGTAGGGCTCTATCTTATGACCCAGGAGATTATGACCTGAGCCAAAATCAAGAGTCAGATGCTTAACTGACTAAGCCACCCAGGTGCCCCAAGGAGTATGCATTTCTTAGCTAACCTTTCATCCCACTCTGGGGAAATATAGTATCCTTGGGGCAGATTTTCACTCATCCCAAAACCAATAATATAATCCTCTCTTAGAACTCTCTAGGACAGTCTATGCAATCAGGCATAGGAGGGAGACAGAACTGGGATTAAATCCTAATTCTACAACATAGAGCTATGTAGTGAGGCACCAGGCACTCTACCTCTATCAGCCTCAGGTTCCTCATCTGTAACAGAGGGAAAATTAAAGTACCTTAGTATTGTAAGGATAAAATAAGATCATGTAAGTAAAGCATTCAGCATGAATTCTAGCATAAAGATAGCTTACGACGAATGATGCTATGATTAGTAGAGGATGGATTTAAGTATACAGTAAGTCAACTCATGTCCCCTAGAAGGTTCTCTGGGAATGGATATAGCACATATTCCTGAAAGCTGTATGTAGATGTAGTCCAGTGGAGGTTGTTTTGTTTTGCCACCACAAATGAATTTTCAATAACCAACAAGTGGGTGAAAAGAGATGATAAGGTGTGAGATACATATATATATATGTATGTATGTATGTATGTATGTATGTATGTATGTATGTATATAGTGGAATACTACTCAGCCATCAAAAAGAATGAAATCTTGCCATTTGCAATGACATGGATGGAACTAGACGGTATTATGCTAAGCAAAATAAGTCAAAGAAATATAATTTCACTCATATATGGAATTTAAGAAACAAAACAGATGAACAGGGGAAGGGAAGGAAAAATAAAAAATGAAAACACAGAGGGAGGCAAACCATAAGAGACTCTTAACTCTAGGGAACAAACTGAGGGTTGCTGGAGGGAAGGTGGGTGAGAGGATGGAATAACTGGGTGATGGGCATTAAGGAGGGCACTTGATGTACTGAGCACTGGGTGGTAGATGCAGTGGATGAATCACTAAATTCTACCCCTGAAACTAACAAAAAAAATTTCTAACTCAGTTTGTATGGTGGCTCTGTTAGTAGGAGAAGCTAAAGTACTACGAAATAGGGGCAACAAGTCATGGATCAAACACAACTGAAGTATTTTTTCTACTCATATAAGGTCTATGGTAGATGTTCCAGATCAGGGGGCGATAGTAAGGTGGCTTCTTTTCCTTGTGGTTACTCAGGCTGACACGTGGCTCTGCCATCTTCAGACCACAGCTTCCAAGCTCGCTGTTTGTGGTACCTCTTTCTTTAAGAAGTCGGAAGGCGGGGGGGACCCACGAAGGAGGTAGGCAGGAGGTTTTTTAGTCTAGGCCATTGGTAAGCGAGACCATGGGAGTGACTGACTTTGCCTGGGGGCCGGGATCTGTAGGCGGAGGAGCAGCCGAGCAGAGTCCTGCATGCAAGGAGTCCTGTGAGCATCCGTCGGTCGGTGCGCCTTCACGCACATATTCAGCACCGGCTACGCGCCGGGCCTTGTGCTTCCTCTGGAATTCAAGGCTGAGGAAGACACGGGCCCTAGTTCTTCAAGGCCCAGCAGGGCAGAGAGAAGTGTGTCATAGGAAAGGGAGCGGTGGCCTAACAGCAGAGCGGGGCCGGGAGGACGGGCTCCGAGCCGCTGATGCCGAGCCGAGCCGAGCCGCGAAGCCACGTGTGTGCGGGCCAGGTGGCAGGGGGAGAGAAAGTGATGGAAACAGGCGGGAACCCGCTGACGTGGCTGGAGGGCCGGTAAGCGTGAGCAAGGCGCGAGGGACGGTGCCCCCGATGAGAATGCAGGAGCCGGGGCAAGAAAAGATCTTTGGCTGGTGGGGGGTGGGGAGGCATGTTAAGGACTTTGCATTTCATCCTTAAAGTTATAAGAAGCCTTTAGAGGTGTCTCAGCAGAGGTCCGGCTCGAAGGAACAGCCCGCAGCAGCGAGGAGCCGGGGTTAGAGAGGGAGGAGGACCACTCTGAGGGCTCTGTGACATCCAGGTGAGAAACGACAAAGGCCTGAATGCAGGCAGTGACGGAGAAGAGGAGGATCACACAGCCGCGAAGGCAGAATTTACGGGGGCTGGACTGTTGGCATCGGGGGCGGGGGTGCTGAATAGATCCTCCAGGCAAGAGGCTCAGGTTTTCCATGGAGGCAGAGGGTAATAGCAGAGCACAGACATCAAAGGGCAGAGTTAGAATGAGAAGTGAGTGGAAAGGATCTCTGTCCAAAGTTGTGAAGACATAAAGGGAGATTTGGTAATATCCTTTAGTCAGGGCAACGGAGAGAGGTCCTGTTCAAGCTCAGGGAGGGTGTCTGCCTCTCTTAAAATCTGCTGCAGGGTGAAAATCCCGGGGAGAAGAAAAAATGTGCCTCGCTCAGCCACTAACTCAAAAGCTTGGCAATGGTTAGCTCTTGGAAAAAAAACATAGAATGGCCCTGATTCACCCAGACACACAGGCCCAGTCCTCGTTAATAACCACATACTTGTTAAGCTGTGATTTGATTAAGTGATTTGTGATTTGATTAAGTAATTTAAAAGACGGTTTATTTAATTTGGAGTCCTCTGGACTTCAGAATCCAATGCATTTGAAACTGTGCTGTTTCTTGTCAAAATTTTACAGCATCTCTACCTGCTTACAATTAGAAGTTGAAATTAAAAACTGGAAAGAAGGGGCAAGAATTCATTTAACTAAAAAGGAAAAAAAAAAAAAAGATTTGCCGTGTCTTAAGAGCTTACCTTCTCTGATGGTTGAGCTGCTACAGTTTCATTTTCCGACCGGTCAGAAGATAATGAGGGGGTGGCCTGTAGCAGAAATTTGAGAAAGAAATTGAATTAGAGAATTTAACTTGTCATTTGTGGTTATTCAAAACCCAGAGGAGATATTTCTCTAAGAAGCCTGTCCTGGGGATACCTCTATCCCACAGAAATGTGTTTCCTGGAAATTCAGAGAAAGCCTTAAAGATGTGAGAGTCAAATTTGTATTTAGCAGACAGAGGTCTGAACCAGCTCCCAGTCAGCATGCCATGGGTTAAACGAGCCGCCAGTGGCCGCAGAAGGCAGTGCCCATATCCAGGCCAGCATGGCCCTTCCCAGAACCAACATGGCAAGCCCCAGTGTCAGAGACCTTGGGGGGCTGGTAAGGAAGGGGAGGGGACGGTGCCCAGAGAAGAGTGTGGGCTCTGCAGGCAGGCAGACCTGGGTTTGAGACCTGCTTCTGCCACTTGCTAACCTGCTAGCTGGGCCTATTACCCCACCTCGCTAAGCTTCAGTGGAACTCTTCTTTATCTAGTCAACATGGAGCTAATATTTCCTTACTGAGAAAAGGTCCCTTTTTCTTACAGGCCCCGCCCAAACTGATCCACATACTGCTCTCTTTCAAGTTAGAAGCAATTTGGCTTAGTTAAGACATCCCATTTTACAGATGGCATTTTATGTAACAAATTCTACCAAAGAAGATTTTTATCTTCCAACAGGTAGGAAGCCCTTTGGGAATTCCAGTCCTAGTTGATCTACTCTCTGCTTTCATATCAAAACATCACTGGGCGCCTGGGTGGCTCAGATGGTTAAGTGTCTGCCTTCGGCTCAGGTCATGATCCCAGGGTCCTGGGATCGAGTCCCGCATCGGGCTCTCTGCTCCTTGGGAGCCTGCTTCTCCCTCTGCCTCTCTCTCTCTCTGTCTCTCATGAATAAATAAATAAAATATTAAAAAAAAAAACCATCACTAAATAAATTGGAAAATCACGGGTGTGGCCTGTTTAAAGTGAGAAGATAAAGGAACGGTTCTAACCCCAGGAGATGTGAAGAGGGTTACATTTTGGAAACTATGCTGTTTCATAAATATAGTCCTGTGCTTCTCCCCAGCCACATCCAAAACAAAGAAGCATAAAATTATGGCACGTTTAAGATACAAAACTTCGGTAACACGTAAATTGTAAGTAGATGGGCTTTGTTTATCTGCATTTATAAAATTTATCCTGGCTCAGTTTCAAAAACTCATCAGGAACCGACAGAGTGCTCTACGTTGTAGGCTGTGTGGCCTAGTTGCCAAAACAAAGGGCAGATTTAATGACCATAAACAAATCAGCTAAACATCATATGAAACTATACACAGACCATGTTCCAACAAAGGTACAGCTGGCCAACTGAGGGTTTCTTTTTATGTATTCAGGAATTATATAGACAGACATGCTCCTAGAGTTTCTACCAAACAGGCACAAATATTCAGGGTTCACAACTCAGCTTCCCACTATGCTTTTGATGGACTATGATCTCAGTGGTCTTCCTCCTTCTGGACCAGCTGCTGATTAGGTTCTTGGTGGTAAAGCAGAGTCCACCGTAATGAGCTTGAGCAGAAATGCAGCTTCTTAGATGGTATGAGCTAACATTCCAGAATTCCTAGAGAGAGGAGGGAATGGGACTGTGGACTGAGGTACAAGGGTACTGGGCCCCGCTGGTAGGAACGCGGCCAACGATGCTCTAAAAGTTGCTGCCTCTTCCCCCGGTGGAAAGCAATTCCACATCTTAGCTGCTTTAAATGGAAGGCTCGTGCGAATGGGTTCAGTGGTAGAGGCTGGGTCACATGCCGCCATCCTAGTTCAAGAAAGGCTGAGAAACAGAATCCAAATTCCCATATTAGGGAAGGAGGACTCAAGTCCTCAAAAATAAAAAATGACGACCCAAAGGCAATGGCCAGCTAAACTATGACATGTGTATCCACAACACTGTAAAGTATGTCCTCTGCTTCTCCTTTTTTTGGGAAAAGATTTAGTCCATAACAAGATCAAAGTTCATAAGGATAAAGACAGCAAGGTAGCTGCTAGTTTTGAGGTGACTTAGGACTACAGCATGAACTCTAAGTTCGAATAAATGTATATGTCATTAACAATCATTTTCCTAAGAGCCTTCACCAAATGGATCAGATCACCAGGGTTGATGTGCTTTGTATAGTGCTATTAATTAAGCAGCTTAAAAATGATAACAGTTATTTATTCTTACCCATTAGCCTGAGTAACTTCACCTGGCTACATCCCGTGAGACTTTTTTTTGTAGCAGATAAAACAGAAAGCTTCTACCTTTGCCTAGTAGTTTAAATTTTGTATTTCATGAATATCTACTTTACTTATATGTCCTTTATTCCCCCCTGAAAAGCATGTTTTTCAAAATTGGGCTCAGAAATGAGGTCAGTCTATAAATCAAGGGAAGAGCCCTTGTATACATTTAAATCTATCAGGTGTCTGGATCAAACTGGCAGTGAATGAAATATAACTGAATCACCTCCAACATCCCATTAAAATGCCCATGAATTAAAATATAGCTACCGCAACCCACAAGCCATCATTAAGCTAAATAAGAAAACTAGTATAAGTATTCCCATTACCATCAGGAATGAGAAAGTTACCTCTATTTCACCACTGTTATTTAACATTGTTCTGGAGGTTGAGAGCTAGTGGAATTGGGTAAAAATATAGATAGTAGATAAATAGATGGAGAGATGGGTGGATGGATAGATAAAACATAGATATAAAAATTGGAAAGAATCAGCCCTTGCTGATGATGTCATTATATCTCCAAAAAACTTAAGAGAAATATTAGTTTGTAAATAAGGAAACTCATTAATAGATTAATAAATAAGACCAATAAATCAATGGTTTTAACATATACAAGAAAACTGAGTAGGACATATCGTGGGATGAAAAAGCTTTCATTTACAATAGTAACAAACAAGATAATGATAATAAAAAAAGATAAAAAGAAGTAAAGAGTTATGTATAAAATCTTGAAGAAGGTAATTTTAAAACATTCCTGAGAAGCACAAAGGAAGACTTGGATGAATGAAAATCATGCCATTCTTCGGGCGCCTAGGTGAGGTGGCTCAGCTGGGTGAGTATCCAATTCTGGAGTTTGGCTCAGGTCATGATCTCAGGGTCCTGGGATTGAGCCCTGTGTTGGGCTCTGCACTAAGCGGGCAGCCTGCTTGAGATTCTCTCTCCTCCCTCTCCTTCTGCCCCTCCCCTGCCTCTCTCTCTCTCAAAGAAAGAAAGAAAGAAATCTTAAAAAAAAGAAAATCATGCCATGCTCTTGGCATCTACATAATTAAAGTGATCTCAGTGGAAATACTTCCAGGATCTTCTTAACTAGAAAAGATAATTCTAAGAAAAATTCACAAGCCAGATTATCCTGGGAAATTCCTAAAATGAAGAATAATGACAGGGTGGGGGTGGGGATGGAGGTAGTGATTAACTCTGTTGGGACAAAAAGATAAAGATAATCTCTGATAAAAATTGGAATCGGAAATAACATAGTTGACAAATAAATATGACTCGAATGAAGAATAACAAGACAGAGAAATACATAGAAAATCCTTTTCCTTTTGCTTACAAAAGAGAAAGCCCCCAAATGAAACTAAAAAGGATAATGAGTGTCTAACAACTAGTGTGGGTGGTTTACAATTAGAAATGGCCACACTGTGCACAATCTACTACTAAACATTGTAATATCTTGATGAAAAGGAGTGTTTCATGGAAAATGTAAATCACCAGCGGTGAAATCAGGAGGTAGGAAACTTTAACTAGCCAATGACAAAGAGAGAAAAGGCAATCAAGGTCTTACTCCTCAGAAGCTCCATGCTACGGTTATTTGACAGGCAACTTCTTCCAAACTTTCACAGAATCACTAATTCCCACAGCATATCTGATGGAGGGCAAACGAAATGATGAAAATCTACCCAGCACAGAGTATGAAACTAGGCTATCCTGAATTCTAAAACTTGGGATTGATCTAGGCTTCTCTTTGTAGTGTGTGATCCTTCACATTTTTGAATCAGGTGTAGAAATACCTTTAATAAACTACTAGGAAAGTAAATTCAAAAATACATTTTAAAAATAACAATCTAAAATCAAGTAGTATTTATCCTGGAGAAGATAAGCGTTTAAGAGATGTATTAATTCATCATTTCAACAAGTGAAATAAGATTAAACATAGTTGGTTTGATTAATTTATCTTAAGCATTCTAAATTAAGTCTGTAGAAAGACAGCAACACTCATTCCTGATTTAAAAAAAAAAACAAACTCCTAATAAGTAGCAATAAAAATATTATCTTAACAACATAAAAAGATATAAACAGCCAACATTTCAAATGACAGTGAAACACGGTAGGCATGGCATTAAAAAGGAGAAACAAGACAAGGCTGCCCACTCTCATTATGTTTATTTTAACGTGTTCTGGAAACTTTAGTCTACAGAAATAAAAGAGAAACCAGAAATAAGAGGGAGAGTTATTAGATATAAGGATATGACATCACAATTGTTTGTATATTAGGAATAGCTACATATATCTGTAGTCAACAAAAAACTGAACTAATTAAAGAGTGGAGTAAAGCAGTTAAATTTAGAAAAAGTTTCCCTTTATAACAGTAAGAATTAAATTTATAGACACATACACAGAAAAAAGACACCATTCATAATAGCTGTATGTAGAATATTAGAGATGTACTTTATATCTACAGGTCCTATATGGAGACAAGTATAAAACAATTCACTATAAGACAAAACAATTCCTTATATGACAAAATTAAAAGACAAATATAAAGCATAAAAAATTAGGGGGAAAAGCTGAATATTTCCTTTTTGTTTATTTATTTATTTTTAATTTATTTATTTATTTGAGACAGAGAGAATGAGAGAGAGAGCACATGAGAGGGGGGGAGGGTCAGAGGCAGAAGCAGGCTCCCTGCCGAGCAGGGAGCCCGATGCGGGACTCGATCCAGGGACTCCAGGATCATGACCTGAGCCGAAGGCAGTC